TTTAATCTAAAATGGCCTGGTTTTCAGATATAATATGTGTTAATATGTACTAAAAAATATTCTGAGCGTTTGCTAGCAATTCTACTTCTCTCTGTGGAATGTACGACCTCATATGATCCTTTGCGCTAAAAACAATACTGTTGAAGATTGTTTTGATGTGACGTCATAGTGAACTAGCGCAACTTAATATTAAATGCGTTCTAGCTAGGCACGCTTCGTGTCCTTTGAATGTAAGCTGTTTAAAATAGGTAAATACCCCCTAGGCTTCCATTCATGGCTTCATCAATCGAACATTGAATTTATTATTCTTTCCGAGAATACGAAGATTAATATTCCTTCTGAGAATCGGCTAGCCGTTGAATATCATGAAAAGAGCAAAGAACTGACAGGCGTCAACACGGAAGTTAAATGAAAATCCAATATATTAAATGTTTTCCCCTCAGTTTTACAATTCGCAACTCGATTGAGTATTGAAATTACTAATTTTCCTCTGGATAGCACTGGAGGTTTTCGTAAGAAGCTTGAAAATTCTTGCAAAAACTTTCCGCTTCGCTGTTCGTTTCTATCGTTAAAACCTAGGGTCGCGTGATGCCAATCAAAGAACCGTTCAAAGGTTACCAAAGCTTCGATCAGAAAGCCACTCAACGTTTCTTTCTCAAAGCGTCTTTAGGTAAGATTGAGAATGGAAAAAGCAAAGCCTAATCTTTGTAGAATTTTCCATCGTCAAACTGATGACGAGGGGGAAACGATTTTTGGTTGTGGTTGTGTAGTAAGATGTAGCAATCAGTCTTTGAAAATTGCTACCTCCAAAAAAATACGAAAGTTGAAAGGTGGCGAATTCTTCGCTACTTTTGAGGCTATCCAAGATAGAGAAATCAAACTGCAAGTTGATATGGAAGAAGACGAACAAGAGAGTGGGATCGCTTATCTTTCATTTGACGAAAACGTATTTGAACACCTTCCAGAAGGCATACCAATGGGAGATCTTGGTAGGATTGATATAATTACTTATCGTGTTCCGGTGTTCGACAAATTAGAGCAGCTGCATGTATCTACAAGTGAGATCAAGCTCTACAATGTTGTAGAAGATCCGACCAGGTGCACTTTACAGATCCAAACTGGAAATAACAACAGGGTTATAAGCAACTTACGCGAAAGTGACMAGTTTCATTTGGTTGTTCGTGGTGCTCCGATACTTGATGATAGGTTCGAGTTCTTTGGAATTGTGGATTTCTTGGAAGTCGACAAGGAGTCCTTGTTGGAACTTGTAAAGAGGACCCCAACAGGTATGCAGAAGATACATAAGCCATGTCGTAACTTATTTTTTATAGGCGCGACCCTGCCATCGTACGGTACCATCCGCCATATGTATTGTAGTAACTGCACTCGTAGTTATATCTTATTCATTCCTCATGATAACTTGGACACTACAGTTCTGTTTCGAGTATATATTTATTTAGTATAATTTATGGAAGTATATACTCGGCCTACGGCCTCGCGCTTTCAAATGTTTTCTCGTGTTTGGAAACCCTAATGAAACACTCACTCGTTTTTGAAATATTAAATCAAAGATCTTTCAATTCTGTTCGTTTTCAGAAGTCATCCGCAGTCAGCCAACAGGGTATGTGAACGCAGCACCACGAGTACCAGGCCCAGGATCGCAAGTAGAAGCAGTTGATACAGGTTTGGGAACTAGATTTTAATCACGCTAAAGAATGAAAGTGGTTAATACTAGAGCTTGCAATTTGCAATTTTTTTATATATAAATGTAAACGCAGTAATTGTAGAACTTGATGAAAGATCTTTTTCTGCTCCTCAGAGGTCAATATCAAGTGTAGCTGTGGAACGTTTGACTTTCGACGATCTTGGCTGAGTAGTAATCGGCATTTTGAATCCGAAAATGCGCATACAGGTTCAAAACTCAAAGCATTGAAAGATATTGTCCAAAATGTGGTGCTTCCTGTTGGTGCTTATTTACTTAACATTATATTTGGCTCGGTTACCTTTGTTGTAAGAGTTACGAACTTGACGGCCCTGGACGAGTTATGGAAAAGGTATATAATTTTTCTTCACTCTGGAATCATGTGGAATTTGAATCACTCAGCCAAAGGTACCCTAATCCGCATTTGCTCATTATATAGGTACAAAGAAGGTAAAATGAAACAAGATTTTGCCGAGATATTCTTCAACATCAGTGAGATGAAAGATCAAGCAAACGATCAATCTGCAGAATTGATCGTCGAAATAAGTGAGAATGAATACAGGAAAGCTAAAGATCAACTCACTATTTCCCAAACGACAGGTAAAACACCTCTTCACGAATTTGTTTCTTTGTTCCCTGAAAATAAATGCTCAYGTTCCCTTGTTCCCTAAAACCCCTGGGAGGGGCTCTGCCTTGAGCGTAATGTTTTCCCATTTCAGACCACGTGAATATTGGATACCAATCAAACAAAGAATCCGATTCCTAAGCGTCTCAAATTAATGGGAAAACATAAAGTTAAAGAGGTCTATTGACGTATAGAGTCATTTAGCGAAGCATGCCACTTGTAGACATTTTCATCCGGGGAATTGTCACCCAGGGAAGGGGGAGTAAGCGTTTATACGATCATAGCGGTTTAATAAGTCGTGAGGCCTGCGGGTAGCTTCGTTAAAAGATTGCCAGTGCGAACGATGGAACACAAAAACGATTCCACCGCATCAACGTATTCTTTACTGCATGCAGGAATGAGATTTTCCCCCCGACTTCAGTATCGTTTGAACTCACTCTCTTWTTTTGAWATAGCCAGAAGCAAGTARTTGATAKGATTTTAATTGTCTTTAATCACGTMTTTTACATCCRCAGTTTACGATATWTGAAAATAGTGTGTTCTCATTTTAGTTGACACTGAAGGGACGGTACCAATCCCAGCGTATTTACTTCAAAACACAATGGATAGCACAATCATGAGTGACATAAACTACAAAATATYAACTGGTAATCCAAAACACATAATAACATACTATAAATAACATTAKCGTGYATCCAASTTACGAAGGCGRAGCAGATTTCTTGGGAAAATGTAGTGAGTGTGTRTGTGCTTAGATGTGTGMGKWMCAAAGGAGCTACGAGGTTGTGTATTTTAAGAGGCACTAAACTTAAATACTTGAAAGTGGCTTTACAAAAAAGAGTCTTTTACTAATAGCAGGCTAAACGAACATGATTTGAAAATACTAAACCTTAAATCAAATGCTTTAATCGACCTTAGATGGATTGCCAACTCCAGCAGCAGGCGGATCTCAAGACAGCCAGCAAGAAACAACTGACGGTGGCCGAAACAWATTTTCCATAGGTAAACGAGGATATAGTGCAGTTTTCGTATGACTGTGAAAAATTCACGGCACGAACACGGTCGTGACACAGCAAGGGATACGCCAGTCCAATCACATTGCACGAGAATTTACTCTCCATCCAATCAAATACCCGGAATACGGCATAAACACGGCGCGGACTTGGTCACGCCAAGATCACGTCACTTTTAGACCAATCATATTGCGCGCGAAAAAAATCAGCCAATTCAAATTCTAGAAAGTATCACGGTCACGGCACGTCACGCTTACGGCACTGAGMTTTTCGCAAAACTGCACTATCTGCGCGTTACTGTAAAGTTTACGCGGTCAAACGTCCATTCCGACATCGATTAAAAGGTGGAGTTTAGTAACTGTTCATCATACAATACCTATAAACTTTTAAAATTATTCTTTTTCTTTTTTTATTAGATGATCATCTACAACTTATTTGGGACGACCTTGGTTTTCGTGATCGATTTTCCAGCGTGTTGGACGTTAAGTATACACGTGTTAAATATTGGCCTCATCTCGCTGAACAGTTTGACATTAAGCGGGCTATCTACGATGCGTTTTCCACGTCAGACATCAACAGCCCTACTGAGAGACTACTCGAGTATTTGGAATGCACTGATCCAGATTACACTGTACAAGATTTCGTTCAAGATTGCAAGACGGCAGACGCTTATGAGGTTTCCCGCATTGTGGAAGACAGTGTCAAAGGTAAGTAATCAAGACAACTGATCAAACATGATCTAAAAGTATGTAGGTGAGGCGTACGTAGCATCATGTCATTCCTGACTCCCCTAATTTCACAGTTCGAATAGGATTGAACGTGTTATATTTGTGGTGGGGGGGGGGGGGGGGGGGGGGGGGGGGGGGGGGGGGGGGGGCAAAAACAAAGAATTCGCCGAAAAAAATGCGTCCTCAAATAAAGGGAGAGACCGAACAAATTCTACTCATATGTTATGCCGAGTCCATGCAGGAAACAAATTTGAGACCCCATGCAGAGGTGAGAGACAAGTGCACTACCCAGCATAGAATAAATGAAGAAAACTTTTTATTTTTTCTAGTCGTTCTAGCGCTTTAATTCGCACTAATTGGGACGGCACTTTTCACTCAATCCCACTACCATACATTCAATATTCTATGCACACGACACTCAACTCTCACATGTCGATTTTTATGGAGGGAGGAAAACGGAGAACCTGGAGACAAACYCTCGAGGCTGAGAAAACAATGCATCAAACAAACTCGATTCACATACGGTGTCCGCAGGGCTCTAACCACCCGAACCTTTGGAWCCACAGCGGTGAAAGACGACGCATTAGCAACGTACGCTACCCATACTACACCCGTATGGTATAGAATTGGATGAAATCATTTGCTACTATAACTTATAGTCAAGGCAATCAAGTAAATTAATAGTTTATGAATTGTAAGCTAAACCTTTAATTTTTGTTCATAACAAGCTGGTATTCTGGATAACGAAGACCTAGTAAGCGAGATATGTGATAAAGCACCAAGGGTTCTGGATGAGGTCGTGCTGAAGCTAGACCGCGATAGTAGACTATGGAAGAACCTGGCAACGGAAAAAAAAGTCCGTAAAAAGAAGTATTTGACTTTCGAGAGTGACAGAACCACCAACCCAGCTCGTTCGTTCTTTGATGTTTTACGAACGCAGGGACCTGAAATAACAATAGGAGATTTCAAAGAAAAATCGRAAAAAACGGAAAAAATCTCGAGCATCTTGAAAAAATCTGGTATCGAAGGTAAGTGTTTTCAACGAATACGCTTATTTTTCAAGCATCCAACAGATGATAAATGCCAGAAAGCCCCTGCCTATCTGCCTGCCAGATTAGGATAGGAATAGTCAGAYAATATGTCATCATCAATGTAAGCTGAACGTCACGTATAATTATGWTGTACAGATAAACTGCTTCTCAAGGATCTCTCAAAAGAAAGCCCAGGTGCTAAAAGTGAGATAGAATCCTTTCTCAACAACCTGAAAACAGAAGTACTATGGAACCTGGCAACCCAATATCAAAAGGAAGGACTGATGGAAGATATTGACGTTGAAACTGCATTCAGACAAGAAGAAGACTGCCACAGCCCAACTAAAAAAGTGATGGATTACGTCCTCGCTAGTTCACCTAAGAAATACACTATCAAGGATCTGATAGTCAAACTGTGGAACATAAATCGCAAAGACTGTTTTGACGTTCTACAACCATACCTAAAGGGTAAGTGTGTCAATTAATTAATTTTTATTTCGTTTATGTGAAGTATGTGGTAACTAGGCTAAGGATGTAAGAATTCCAACCAGTTCGTTTCTCTATAATTATATGTTATTACATATATAAATAGACTATAGTTTTATATTCCTTATTTGTATTTATTGTTTAAATTTTAGCACGGCACGCCTGAAAAGCAGTGTATCTGAGTCGTTAACCGTGGATAAACAAAGTTAATTCATTCATTCATTCATTCTCTGTTTGTCTGTTTAGAGGGGAGGCCTCCATTTATAGGAACATGACGAAGGGTCGCATAATTTCGTGGTGTGCCTTTGCTTTGCAATATGGACCAATAGGTCTTCCCCCATTGGGGAAATTTGCTCTCCACCTAGGTTTTTGGCAGTCTCCTATTTTGCCCAAGCATTTGATCTCTGCTGACCCCCGTCCCCCCTTCATCCCCTGAGTTTTTCCAAACAATATACCTACCCACTCCCACAAAAGCATTTCAACTGTTTCCCCATTTGTTTATGAACAATTGTTTTTCCTTTTTCAACATCCTAAACATACGGACGATTTTAATTTTTGTACTTCAAATACTGTTGCTTTCAGGAGGCAAGAACGACATCGATAAAATAACGAAAGGACTCAAGAGGCTTCAGCCTGAAGAACGACTGAAGAAGCAGCCGTGTACTGGTGACGAAARCGTATCCAGCACACCAGTCTCAGACAAGTCAGAAGAATCACAAAACCAATACGTCATGGCTATCAGCGCTAAAAAATAAATTCCGTTTCTGCGTGTCATCCTTATATAGGGTTTATAGGCCATTTTTTATTTCTTTTATATCTTCTTAATTCATGTTTATTGCTTGTCCATACAATAGCACTAATAGATTTTATGAAAGCATTCTGAAATATGATGTGCCTTCAAATTTGAATATAAATCGCCTCCGATTATACACACACAGGACGCCATAGAAACCACACTGACTCTTTTTTTCTTATTATTAGATAAGCTATGAGAGACTGATACCATTGCTAATAGATAAGATAAGCCTTCATTTAATGTTGAATTKATTAGTTGCCGGATAATTTGACTTTTTATCAAARCGTATCTTATTGTAGTATATTTGCTATAAAGGTCTTACGCACAGTAACTGCACCAAGCATTTACGTCATGTTTTCTTAAGTACAATGCATCACTGGATGCCCGTGGTTAAAAAAATGGCGCCTTTCGTGTAGATAATAAACGGGTATCAGCGAAGGATCCAGGATTTTCACAAAAGGGTATTCCAATTTCATTATAATGGGCTGGCGTAAATAGCATCTTTGGCATTGACGAGATCTCACAAAAGGGGTTCCATGGAACCCACAGAACCATCCCTGGATCCGCTGCTGCGCAGAACGGAATGGCGTAAAAACTTTAGGGCGATAATATTAATCAGYATTTGCAAGTTATAATTTTAATATTTCTGCTGAATTGTAGCTAATTAAACTGTGCAATCCACAAAATCAAATCATCAATCGTGGGTAAAGAACAAGCTCACGCGTTGACCCCTAGAGTCGATTAATGATTTGAATTTTCGAATTTTGATTTCATTATTCAGTTGAAATTTACAACGTCGAAAACGAAGATATGAAAATTCCAATCAACTTTAAATTCAACATACGACACTTGCCACAAATACTCGAGCAACCAATTCTTGTTTTTTACCTGTCACCTTGAGGTTTCTCTTCCTGAGGAATTCTTTCAAGGCTTCGACTCTCCCCATAGCAACTTCATCAAAAGATGGATGATCATTCTCGATGTTTTTGTCATTTTCATCCATTATCAGTAAAAAAAAACAAAAAAGAAAACTAAAGCACGAGCTTAAAAGGCGTAAAGCAATTCTCCGGGCAAGATTTATATGTTAACCTGTTGCAATTAGAATAAATTCATGCCCGATTGGACTTTGAACTCTATCCCACGATGCAACGCGAACTCACATTCGCGATCCATGTATTTAACGCTAMTTTCAAGAATTATTCCTCGGCTGTGTTGCTGTTAAGTTAACTGTAGGCATTAATATAAGGTTAGGCCGTAAAAAAGTAAAGTTCTCCTTTCAGCAAARTGAGTGGGTTTTTACCCTCTGGTTACCCCCCAAAGACGCAAAGGTTTATAGGGATGTGAAAGTCGAGAATTGAAGAATTTCAACNAAAGTCGTAAAGCAATTCTCCGGGCAAGATTTATATGTCAACCTGTTGCAATTAGCATAAACTCATGCCCGATTGGACTTTGAACTCTATCCCACGATGCAACGCGAACTCGCATTCGCGATCCATGTATTTGAGGTATTAGGATACTTAAATTACGCGCTGGCTTTATAGTATAACACAAACAAAGTATACATTTTCTGAAAGTTGAATAAATATAGTTTATGAAGAAATTTTCAAAATACGATTTTTTTTATTGTTGTTTACGTTATTTTCCTCGAAGCGAAATTTGACCATGCCTCAGTGAAAACGTTAACGGACACGTACATTTTAAGCTATGTTTGCGAAAAATGTCTTAACATACTCAGGAGATAATAAGCTCCAAAAGGGTGTCCCAGATTTTTTATATCTGTTTTCTGTCTCTCACTATTTTTGATCAAAGTTCAGCGATCGCTTTTGGAGTGTTGTTTAGAGTAAAAAGCGTCATAACTTTGGAAAGAAATTAAATTTCAAAATTCGGAGACACCCTTTTTTGAATCATGATTTACTTTATAAACTCTCCAAATTTAAAAAAAATCGAATGAAATCCAAGGGACTTTTAGCTTTTTGAAGTTGAGGTTTTAGCGGCAAAAAAAGATTCGAGAAAAACGCATTTCTTTGTTTGGAGCCGGAAGCTGCAGGGAGTCACGATGGTGTTGGCCAAAACACCTTGTGCCTTCCATTTTGTCATCACTTGTCAAATTATCTGGTGTTCTGGACGATCGCAATGTAGGATCTTTTTACAATGACAAAGGAGCATGACAGATGTACATATATTAAGCGACGGTACATTTCCGGTCTTGATAAAGTCACGATTTCGATTTTTCTCCAAATTTTGGCTTTTCCAATCGAAAATCGCAAGAAGTTTCACGAACATATGAAAGATAAAAGTTTAAAATTACGAAATTAAAAAGAAAAATTTTTTTCGGGCAATTCGTCATTTTTCGTATCCTAATACCTTAACGCTAATTTCAAGAATTATTCCTCGGCTGTGTTACTGTTAAGTTAACTGTGGCCATTAATATAAGGTTAGGTCGTAAAAAGTAAAGTTCTCATTTCAGCAAAATGAGTGGGTTTTTACCCTCTGGTTACCCCCCAAAGACGCAAAGGTTTATAGGGATGTGAAAGTCGAGAATTGAAGAATTTCAACNATTATTTTTCCTTCCGAGAATCAGCTTGAGCTATTTTGACGGTAACGTATTCTCAGAAGGAATAATATATTCAATATTCAATATCCGAATAAATGAAACCATTCATGGAACCTAGCGGGTAAGCTTGAGCTGTTTTGACTGTAATATTCCTAAAAAACATTCCAAATAGAAGAACAAATACCCTGCTGCCGCAGAGTCTCCCTTTAATTAGTTTCTAGGTTTCTATTATTGGCTTCATTATTCGAATATTGAATTTGTTATTCTTTCTGAGAATACGAAGACTATCCTTCTGAGAATCAGCTTGAGCTATTTTGACTATAACGTATTCTCAGAAGGAATAATATATTCAATATTCAATATCCGAATAAATGAAACCATTCATGGAACGTATAGGGTAAGCTTGAGCTGTTTTGACTGTAATATTCCTAAAAAACATTCCAAATAGAAGAACGAATACGGTCCGTGTAACACTCCACAAAGAGCTTTTCAATTTAGTTGGCGTGAATTTGACATATGAAATTTGCCTGATTGTTGAATTTTCATTTTTTATGATCATGTCAAAATTCGAATATTATCTCATCAATGTCAATTTTCAATTTTCGAATTCAAAAATTAAAATAAATATTTGAAATGACTTTTCGAAATTCTTATTTTGTACTCTGAAAACGAACTTTGGAAAAATATCCTGTAGACAGGGGGAGGTGAAGATTAGGCGGACTGAGGGTAGGTGGGTCCACTAACAACGACAATAATAAAAAAAAACCATAGAGGGAGGGGAGGCACCAAGGAGGGTGTTATAACAACATGTAAACCTTGAGAGAAAACCATGGAAGAATTTTCGACCAATTTGTACGATGATGAAAGCGGAAGTGGACCCACCTACCCTCAGTCCGCCTAATCTTCTGAGAATCAGCTTGAGCTATTTTGACTATAACGTATTCTCAGAAGAAATAATATATTCAATATTCAATATTCGAATAATGAAACCATTCATGGAACCTAGCGGGTAAACTTGAGCTGTTTTGACTGTAATAATCCCAAAAAATATCCCATTCTTTTCTTTTGTATAACGGAAGCTTGACTATTCGTTCAAACTTTCCGGTTTGTGCTTTCGTTTTTGCTCCCGTCAAAACTCGCTAAAGAAATTTTAACACTACTTAAACCCTAAAACTGTTTAATATTCCTAAAAAACATTCCAAATAGTTATTTCTAGGAACTAAGTTGTTTATACGAAAGATTAAAGAAGTGGCCGGCGTCAACACGGAAGTTAAATAAAACGATCGGTTTTTCCCTTAGTTTTACAATTCCTAACTCCATTGAGTATTAACAGGTTAAAATTATTAGTTTTCCTCTGGATTCTGCACTTGGGGGGTTTTAATGTAAGAAGCTTGGATATTCTTCCACACTTTCCGCTTTCGCGCTTTTGCTTCTATCGTATAACCAATTGAAACCTATGGTWATAAGCGAGGTCGCGGGATGCCAATCAARACTTCTTTGTTTGRTTGGCTAGCWCATCCTMAATAATCMCTTCCAAGAAATTTGGAAGTTTACCAAACCTAGCGTTGGTGACCCCATCTTTTTATTGCAGTTTTTAAATGTCCATAACATAATTAATGTCCATGCAAAGTTTCAGGACAAAGTTATTGGCAACATTTCTTTCAAGGGAATTACCTTAAAAAACTATGATTTCAATAACAATTTTAATTTAGTACCCCTACATAAGTTTCACTCCTACATCCTGTAAAATATACCATATTGATCGCGTGCTAGAGAACATCACCTAGTTTGGCCAGCTGCAATGGTTGCTTGGGGTTCGTTGTACGTTATTTTTAATCATTTTGCATAAATTGTACAAAACCATCTTGAAAAAGAAAAGGAATGAAAATTACGAAAGCGACGAATAATGTATTCACTAGACGTCTTTTGAGTAGTTCGAGAATCGTAGTTAATGGCCTTGATGGTGACGCGCTGAAGTTTATTTTGAAGCATATCTTATTAGATGAAATTTTTGTGAAGTTTTGCCTGTTCTGCGACGTGTTAATTTAGCGATTTCGGAGCTCGAATATACATTTTTAAAAAATATATTATTATTATTATTTACGAAAAATCAGATTCTAAGTCACTTTGATTTCGCCTTCGTTAGTTCATTGGACAATCTTGGACTCGACTTGAGTGTAATAAATAGTGGTACTTTCTAGAATAACCAAAGGACAGAATTCATCTAGCAAGAAGCAGTCTACGAAGAAGTGTACGAAGACGTTCCCTACGACTTTCTTTGTCCAACTTGGGGGAAAATTGAAAATGTTCTAAAAATTTCCTGAGATTAAAGTACACTCACCTGAACAGAGCCGCATAAGCCAGATGGCGTCAAAAAAAAAGAAAAAGGTTTTGCAAACGCTTTTATTCTTTAAAATATATTTGTTCGGAAGTTCGGAACTTAGTTCTCGCCCAAAACTTCAGAACTTCAGCAGGTAACTTTGGAACTTGCCGTTTAGTAGAWTTTGAAGTTCCGTGATGACTATCTTCACCAAACAAGGGCGAGCTCTCCCCCTAGAAGCTAGGGAGAAAACTGTTGATTTGTTGGCAAGGAAATCCAAAAGCTGCTGGTTGAAAATAACGTTTATTTGTCTCTAAATACTCCGCTATCTCTGTCGTCGATTAGCCCTATTTCAACGAAGGACTTAGGTTATTCTTTCAAGAAAATYYAAGTTGTGGCCAGGGAATCTCTAAAACCAAACATTCAACCAATTCTGAATCCATCTTCGCTAACCAAGTTCTGAACTTCGGTGAGAACTACAGCAATAAGTTCCGAACTTCGGCGGGAAGTAAGTTCAGAAGTTATACTAATAACGAACTTCGCTTTGAACTTATCTTATTGTAGTATATTTGCTATGAAGGTCTTACGCACAGTAACTGCACCAAGCATTAACGTCATGTTTTCTTAAGTACAATGCATCACTGGACTCCCTGGTTAAAAAAATGGCGCCTTTCGTGTAGATAACAAACGCGCATCAGCGAAGGATCCAGGATTTTAGAAGAAAGGGGGTTCCAAAATGGCCGCCACTSGGTCGACTTCACAAAGGGGTATTCCAATTTCATTATAATGGGCGTAAAGAACATTTTTGGCATTGATGAGATCTCACAAAMGGGGTTCCATGGAACCTACAGAACCATCCCAGGATCCGCTGCTGCGCAGAACGGAATGGCGTAAAAACTTTAGGGCGATTATATTGATCAGTATTTGCAAGTCATGATTTTAATATTTCTGCTGAATTGTAGCTAATTAAACTGTGTAATCCACAAAATCAAATCATGATTCGTGGGTAAAGAACAAGCTCACGCGTTGACCCCTAGAGTCGATTAATGATTTGAATTTTCGAATTTTGATTTCATTATTCAGTAGAAAATTTACAACGTC